ATTATATAGTAATATAATTAGAAGGAAAAAATTACTGCAAATGACTTCTGAACACAGTACCTTGGCTGTGACCAAATGAATAGCAAAAAAATAAAATATATAAATAAAATAAATCCTAGCATTCACTCAGTAGTTTATTGGTCATAATAGCACAGATAGCCAAAACCGGTTTGGTTCAGTGGATAGAGCGTCGGTCTGCGGACTGAAGGGTCCTGGGTTTGATTCTGGTCAAGGGCATGTAGATACCTTGGTTGCGGGCACATCCCCAGTGTGCAGGAGGCGGCTGGTCAATGATTCTCTCTCATCGAAGTTTCTAGCTATCTATCCCTCTCCCTTCCTCTCTGTAAAAAATCAATAAAATATATATATTTTTAAAAATAGCACAGATATTGTAACTTCATAAACTTTTAGTTGAAATATTTTTGAAATATTTAAAACTGCAAGAATAAGGTAAAGATGAAGAAATGGTGACTGCTAGTTATTACAGGTTTTTTAAGGGGTGATGAAAATATTCTAAAATTGGCTGTATTGATGGTTGGGCATACGGATATATTAAAACCATTGAATTATATGCTTTAAGTGGGTGAATTGTATGGTATGTGAATTATTTCTCCATGCATTTGTAAAATAAAATAAGACAAAACATTCCCAAATACTCTTCATTGAGATTCCTGATTTTAACATTTGCCTTCACGTTGTCTCTCTTTCTAAGCCATTTGAGTGTAGGATGCAGACACGGTTTTTCTTTAATACCCTTAAATATCTTGTGAATTTCCTAAAACCAACAAGATCACTTGCCTGGATAGCCTGAAAACACCCACCAAAATCAGGAGATTACCACCGATCCAAACCCATTAAGGCACAGACCCCATGCACCTGCCGTCCTTCCCAGCCACATCCTTTTCCTACCCAGGGTCACACTTGGCATTCAGTCTGGCTCTTCAGTCTTTCCTTGAACGACTTTAGTCATTTTGGAGAGTACATGCCACTTAGTGTGTAGAATGTTCCTCTGCCTGAGTTTCTCTGATGTGTCCTCATGAAGATCTAGGTGATGCACTTTGGCAGGAACATCACAGAAGTGACATGTCCATGTCCATGCATCCCATAGGGCACGTGCTATTGAATATTGGTCATATTCCCTTTGGCCAGTTAAAATGGGGTCTACCAGGTTTCTCCACTGCAAAGTTAATTAGTACTTTATGCTTTTTCATTGATGAATAAATCATTTTTATGGGTGAAGCTTTGAGACTGTGTATAAATCCTATTCTTTTTATTGAATGTATTGGGGTGACATTGATTAATAAAATCACATAGGTTTCAGGAGTACAATTCTATAAAACATCATCTGTATATTGTATTCTGTGTTCATCACGTGTTCAAGAAAAGTCAAGTCCAGTATCCTTTCATCATCATTTATTCCCCTTATACCTTCTTCCACCTCCCTTCTCCCCCTTTTTCCTCTGGTAATCACCATACTGTTGTTGTCTGTCCCTATGAGTTTGGGTTGTGTGTGAGTTTTTTTTCTTAATTCCTTCACCTTTTTCACCCAGCCCTCTGACAGCTGTCAGTCTGTTCTCTATGAATCTGTTTCTATTTTGTGTGTGATTTTATTTTGTTCATCAGATTCCACATAAGAGTGAAGTCATATGGTACATAACTCTCTCTGACTGGCTTATTTCACTTAGCATAATGCTCTCCAGGTCCATCTATACTGCCCAAAGGGTAAGAGTTCTTTCTTCTATGGCTGAGTAGTATTCCACTGTGTAAATGTACCACAGCTTTTTATCCACCCATCTACTGATGGGCACTTGGGCTGCTTCAAATCTTGGCTGTGGTAAATAACACTGCAATAGGGGTGCATATATGCTTTCAAATTAGTATTTTGGGTTTCTTCGGATACCATCTGTTCTTTATATAATTTCACCCACTGGTCTTAGCATCCATGAATGGTTCTTGCCTACATCAATTGATTCTGTGATGTTGCCTGGTGCAATTCTCCATCGTCTTTTCTACACTAATAAGTAGGCATTATCCTGAAAGGAGAAGCTTTTCCTTCTCCATTTTTTAATATACCATATTAACTTGGTTCCCATTTTATTCAGTGGGTTATAATCTATTACCAATCATTATTTTGATCCTAAAACTGCCCCAGGTTTGGACAGTGGGAGTCCCTTCAAACTGGCTACTCTGTGTCCTTTGACATATCCCCATCATCCTTGAGTACACTCTTAATTTCTCCTATAAGAAGCTCTAGGCTCCTTGTGTACCAGCGTGAAATTAGCCATCCTAGGGAGAAGAATGCTTGCAAAGCAAGAGCTGGGAGTGGGGTGTGTTCATTGCTATCCGAATGTTATTCCTGCTCATCTCCGTGGACAGAACTAAGAGATATATTTTTATACACACATGCATGAGTAACTATACACATGTATCTATTCTGTCTATGCTAAGGATAGTAGAAACCCTGACCTCATACCAGCATCTCTGATTACAGTCCAATGTCACACGGCTTATCCTGTCTTCTCCCTTTCTGTGTTCACACCTCCCTTCTGCGATAGTGAGAAACCTGGCTCCCACTGCTCTCAAAATACTTACTTATTGCCCTAACTGGTTTGGCTCAGTGGATAGAGCGTTGGTGGACTCAAGGGTCCCAGGTTCGATTCTGGTCAAGGGCATATACCTTGGTTGAAGGGACATCCCCAGTAGGGAGTATGCAGGAAGCAGCTGATAGATGTTTCTCACGCATTGATGTTTCTAAATCTCTATCCCTCTTCCTTCCTCTCTGTAAAAAAAAAAAATAATTAAAAAGAAAAAAAAAACAATAAAAAATAAAAAGAATAGCAATTAAAAAAAAAACAACCCTTACTTATTTGCCCAATTCCCTCGCATATTACCAGTATCCCAATGGAGCCAACTTTGATTTCATAATTTTAAAACTATGCTACCTAAGAAATGCAATATGAAACCCATGCAAATGCATATGATTTAAAACGTCTTTAATTAAAAAATATACCATGCCAGGACCGGTTTGGCTCAATGGATAGAGCGTCGGCTTGGGGACTGAAGAGTCCCGGGTTCGATTCCGGTCAGGGGCATGTACCTTGGTTGCGGGCATATCCCCAGTGGGGGGTGTGCAAGAGGCAGCTGATCAATGACTCTCTCATCGATGTTTCTAGCTCTCTATCTCTCTCCCTTCCTCTCTGTACAAAATCAATAAAATATATTTTTTAAAAAAAATACCATATCGTTGTAAACGAATGTTTTAAAGGTCAGTGAAGACGGACAGTGCGGAGAGCCAGTGCGTTCAGAGGTTCCCTGGAGAGGCTCGGCGAGCTGGGGAAGAAAATTGCACAGACATCTGGCCCTGGACCCCTGGGGCCTGCACAGGACAGGCACCTGGAGGAGCTCGAAGTTTCTTTTGAGGCCTGGAGTGCTGATTTGGGGTCTGTGACCCTGAGGAGCCTTCCTAGGATGCCTGGAGAGAGCGCTGTTTCTGGCAGACCGGAAGTGGGCAGCCTGCTCAAGCCTGGAAGGAGGCCCCGCTGGTGACAGGTGAGCGGGGCTGGATGCCAGGGCAGTGAAGGGAAGGGCTGGCAGTGCAGACTCTGCTGCACAGAGACCAGGCAGGAGCTGAGTGGTCTGGGTCAGGCAAGGTGGGGGAGTGGGAGGGGCGCCTGGGGCTTCCAGCGAAGGAGGGTGGAGCTTGGGTGGGAGACTTCAGGCTGGGAGAGAAGTGGGGCCTGCCGAGCTTGCCAGGCCTGTGGCAAGGTTAAACTTGGCTTTTCCCAACTCCGAGAAGAGGAAGGGGTGGTGGAGAGATGGCACCCCCTCTTTCTAAGCTCGTGTCTGCAGGCTCTTCACCAGCTACCCCCAGACCAAGACCTACTTCCCACACTTCGACCTGCACCCTGGCTCTGTGCACCTGCGCTCCCACGGCTCCAAGGTGGTGGTCGCAGTGGGCGACGCGGTCAGGAACATGGACAACATCCATAGCGCCCTGTCCAAGCTGAGCGAGCTGCACGCCTACATCCTGCGCATGGACCCCGTCAACTTCAAGGTGAGCGTGGGGACAGGGGTCCTGGCTGGTCAGGACAGAGGCCAGGCCTGGAGGAGAGGAGGGCAGGGTCTCTGCGAGATGGGGAACCCCAGCCCACTCCCGCCCCGCGCTGAGTCCCTTCCGCCCCAGCTCCTGTCCCCTGTCTGCTGGTCACGGTGGCCTTGCACTTCCCAGCGGACTTCCCGGCGACGCCCACGCCCCTGGGACCAGTTCCTGTCCGTAGTGTCCAGCGTCCTGACTGAGAAATACCGCTGAGCACAGCCCCAGAGGACAGGCTGCGGCCTCTGTTTGACCTCTGAGCCCTTCCACTGCCCCCCCCTGACTCCCCAATTAACGGATGCCCCCCCCCCCCCCGCGGCCTCAGCACCGGGGGAAGGGGGAAAGGAGGAAACAGAGCGAGGGGGGCGTGTCTCCGGGGCTGGAGGCCACTCTCGGCGCTTTGGGGGGGGGGGGAGTCCTTGCGCCCACAGACCCCAGGGGAGCAGGCGGGAGAGAGTCCCGCGGCCCAGGCACGGAGGGGGGGGGGCGCTGTTTCTCCGGGGCGTCTGCGCCTCGTGGGGCTTCAGAATCGCCGGAGGTGAGGCTGGTTGTGGGCGGGCTCAGGGGACTTCAATTCAAACCCTGTCCCACCGCCTGCGCTGCCTGCCTGGCCCCCGGGGAAAAGGGGGTTCCCTGCCACCTCCCCGCTCTTCCTCCGGATCCTCCCACGGACGCCCCTCTGGCGCAGGAACTTTGCCCGCAGGGAGGCACTGGCAGACCCCGCTGCAGCCTGCATGGCAGCCAAGGCGCCAGCGCCGTCCGTGCCGGTGACCCGGGGCCTCCGGCCGGGGTCCCCGCGCCCCGGGGCGCCAGGCCTGCAGCGGGCGGGGCGCTGGGCGGCGGAGGGCGGGGCCGCTATAAGGCGCCGGGCGGCGGCGGCGCCCGCAGAGCCCGCCAAGCCCGCACCATGCTCAGTGCCGAGGAGCAAGCCCACATCGCGCAGGTCTGGGACCTGATCGCCGGGCACGAGGCGCCGTTCGGGGCGGAGCTGCTGCTCAGGTGGGTGGGGGCGAGTCTCCAGGACGCAGGGGTGGGAGACAGGGGCGGGGAGGGGGGCGCGGGGGAGAGACGGGGGGGGCTGTCTAGGGGTCTGGGCGGTGCAGGAGCTGCAGGACCCCCCGCACCCGCTCTCCCCTCTGACCCGCCCCCCTCCCCCCAGGCTCTTCACGGTGTACCCCAGCACCAAGCTCTACTTCCAGCACCTGGGCGCCTTCCCGGACGAGGTGCAGCTGCTGAGCCACGGGCAGCGGATGCTGCAGGCGGTGGGCGTGGCGGTGCAGCACCTGGACGACCTGCGCGCCGTGCTGCGCCCGCTCGCCGACCTGCACGCCCACGTGCTGCGCGTGGACCCCGCCAACTTCCCGGTGAGCCGCCCGGCCGCGGGGCGCTGAGGATGGGGGGAGAAAGGGGTCCTGGAGGAGCTGGAGGGGCAGGCACCCTCTCACCGCCCCCTCTCCCGCAGCTGCTGATCCAGTGCTTCCAGGTGGTGCTGGCCTCCCACCTGCAGGGCGAGTTCACGGTGGAGATGCAGGCGGCGTGGGACAAGTTCCTGACGGGCGTGGCGATCGTGCTGACCGAGCACCAGCGCTGAGGCCCGGGTCCCTCGTGTCAATAAACAGGCCCCAGCCGAAACCGGTTTGTCTCGGTGGATAGAGCGTTGGCCTCGGCCTGCGGACTGAAAGGTCCCGGGTTCGATTCAGGTCAAGGGCATGTACCTTGGCTGCGGGCACATCCCCAGTAGGGGGTGTGCAACAGGCAGCTGATCGATGGTTCTCTCTCATCGATGTTTCTAACTCTCTATCCCTCTCTCTTTCTCTCTGTAAAAAAATCAATAAAATATATTAAAATAAATAGGCCCCAGAGGCGAGACCCTGTGCAAGTGTGGTCTGTGGGTCGGTGGGCCGCCGTTTGGGGCTGGGCCGAGAGGTTCCCTCCGCGGGGAGCCTCCTGGGGAGCGACGCGGGGAGCTTCCAGACTTGGAATGAGGACGGTTCAGGGCTGCCAATCCCGGGTCTGGACAGGAAATCCCAAGGCGTGAACACAGCAGTTGCCCTCTGTGTGTGTGTGTGTGGGGGGGGTAGAGTGGGTGCTGGAATTGGGGGGGAGCCTCTAAGGTTTCAGCGCATCTGACACCAGAGCCCTATCATACCGTTCGCAAAGCACATCGCATTCACTCATTCCTTTATTCCCCCCACCCCACCCCGTCATTGACCCGCTGCCTCCTACACATCCCCCACTGGGAGCCGCCAGCAGGCATCTCAGCCTGTGCAGAAAGTCTAGGCACCAGGCGCAGGGGCCAAGTTCCTGGCCTGGAGTCAAACAGAATTTGGGACCCAGGGCTCCTGGACCGCTTCCTTCCACATCCGCCTTACACACACACACACACACACACACACACACACACACCGCCGCCCGCCACGTTCACTCAGCAGCAGCCCTCGTCTGGGCCAAGCTAGCCCCTCGCTCTGAACCTCCTGGGCTGGGGATGAGAGTCCGGAGGAACTCCTAATGGCCACACCCCGGTCACACCAACAAGCTGTGGTCTGAGCCTGACGCACCTGGGGGGAGGGGGAGGAGGGGGACACATAGCCTTGCTTGACTTTGCGATAATATTTGAGAACATAATTCGGGGTCGCGTCTGGTAGGACCATGACAACCCAACCCCCTCCCCACATCCTAGCCCCAGGGGGTCAGTCTCTATGAGTTTTTTGGACCAGGCCTCCTCCCAGCCCCTCACCCCAATCTCCTGCTGCTGGGAGAGGAGACTGCGCTCCACCCATAACCTTTGCCGGCAGGGACAGAGGGAGGGAGCGGACTCCAGTGCTCTGCAGCCTCTGAGTGAGGACTGGCCGGATCTGTACTGAGGGTAGGGATGGGGTGGGGGTGGGGTGGGGGTCCGATTGGAGCCGGCAGAGAGGTGGGTGCCCAAGTCTGAGAGGATGCTGGGCCCTGACAATGGCTTAGCCGAGTTCCCCTTGCTGACCGGCAGGCCTGCCCACCTCTGGGAGTAGGAGGGTGTGGAGATTCACCCCATATTGTCCTTTATTGTTGGGGTGGGGAACCGCCAGCCCAGGGGCCCTATAAGGCCCGCGAAATCACTTGGTCTGGCCCTGCCGAAGCATTAGGGGAGAGTCCATTACATGGTTGACCAAATATATCAGACTAATTTTTAAACATATATTTATTGATTTCACAGAGGAAAGGAGAGGGAGCGAGAGATAGAAATATCAATGATGAGAATCATTGATCCGCTGCCTCCAGCACACCACCCACTGGGGATCCAGCCCGCAACCCAGGCATGCGCCCTTGGCTGGAAACAAACCTGGGACCCTTCAGTCTGCAGGCCGACGCTCTATCCACTGCGCCAAAACGGCCAGGGCCAGACTAATGTTTAACTGGATGATAGTTTTGTGTGGCCGCCAGTGATGTTCTGAGTGTCCAATGGCCCTTGTCGGAAAACAGGTTCCCCACCCCACGCTGTGGGTACTGGGCCAAGTCCGGTGCCGCTTCAGGAAAACTGTGCTCCCCTCCGGGACGGACAGGCGGACACCTGGAAGCTCACCGCCCCGGCCGCACGCGGGGGCACGGGGGAGGGGGCTCCGGACCCGGTGCGGGGACCGGACTCTGCAGCGGCGGCGGAGGGGGCCCTGAGAACCGGGGCTCGGCCCGCTGGGACCCCGCGGGTGAGGGGGCCTGGCCCCGCCCCTCCTCCTCCGGACCGAGCCCCGACCCCGCCCCCCGGAGCCGCGGCGGCCAGTGAGCGCGGCGGCGGCGGGCGGGCCCCTCGCGCCCCGGGCATAAAGGCCGCCCGCACCCGCCTCCCGCCACCCTTCTGTCCTCACACAGACTCAGAAGAAGCCACCATGGTGCTGTCTTCCTCCGACAAGAGCAACGTCAAGGCCGCCTGGGACAAGGTTGGCGGCAACGCTGGCGATTATGGCGCTGAGGCCCTGGAGAGGTGAGGCCCTCCTCTGCCTGCTTCCACCGCCACCCCAACCCGCACCCAGCACCCTGCACCCCGCACCCCGCATCCCAGGCTCTCAGAGTCCAGCAGCGCCTCCACCCGCACCTCAGGCCCAGGCCCCTGCCCTGCACCCCCCACCCCTCCCCACCCGCCGCCGCCCTCACCCTCCTCTCCTCGCAGGATGTTCCTGAGCTTCCCCACCACCAAGACCTACTTCCCCCACTTCGACCTGTCCCACGGCTCTGCCCAGGTCAAAGGCCACGGCAAGAAGGTGGGCGACGCCCTGAGCAACGCCGTGGGCCACATGGACGACCTGCCCGGCGCCCTGTCCGCCCTGAGCGACCTGCACGCCCACAAGCTGCGTGTGGACCCCGTCAACTTCAAGGTGAGAGACCTGGCGGAGCGCTCCCCTGGGCGCCAGAAGGTGGCCTCGCCCTGGCGCCCCCTCATGCCGTCTCTCCCCGCAGCTCCTGAGCCACTGCCTGCTGGTGACCCTGGCTTGCCACCACCCCGGCGACTTCACCCCCGCCGTGCACGCCTCCCTGGACAAGTTCCTGGCCACCGTGAGCACCGTGCTGGTCTCCAAGTACCGTTAAGCTGGAGCCGCGGCCACCCCACCCCGGGTGGGGCCCCTGGGCGCTCCTCCGCCCGCACATCCTGATCTTTGAATAAAGTCTGAGTGGACTGCAGCCTGTGTGGCCTTGTTCTGTGTGCCCGACCATGCAGGGGGAGGGGGTTCTCCTTGCTTCGGACCGGACCGGGCCGCTGGCTCCTCCGCAGCAGGCGAAGGGAGGGAAGGGGAGGGAGGAAGAAGGAAGGGATTGAGGTTGGCACTTCCAGGAATGGCTGAGTCCTGCTTTGGTCCTAGGAGGTGCCAGACCTCCAAGGGTCCCCTGGGGGCAGAGGTGGGGAGAGTAAGAACTGCCACCCACTCTGAAGTGTCTCTCATGGATCTCTGTAAAACAGACCATGGAGATAAAAATAAAGGAGATAAAAATAAAGCAATGCAAAACCACCAAACCCCCCAAACATTCCTCTCCTGGCACGCACCAGGTGCTAGGCCACTTCTGTGGGACTCCCTCCTCCTCCCCAGCAGAGGAGAGGGCGGTTGGAATGGGGATCAGAGTCCCAGCACCCCTCCTGGGTCACAGAAGCCCTCTGCAGCCAGGGGGCAGATGGCCTGGGGAGCAGGGAGGGCGCACTGGGGGAGCCCCTCAGCAGAGGACCTGCTCCCTTGTTCTGCACGTCACAGCGCACATCAGTAGCTCAGTGTCCCCAGCCTGTGTCCCCCAGCTCATTGCTGCTCCCTTACCCCCCACCAAGGTCTCCATTCTGGAGACTCCTGGGGTCTCCAGCTGGTCTATGGAACTGTGAGCAACACTGTGGTTAGGTAGTCCCCCCGTTCCAAGTGCTGACTCCACACCCACCTGCCTCTGCTGCCCCCTAAGGGACACCCTCTCAGCCCGGTGCCCCAGCCCAGCCCCCATCTCTAGGGCAGCGCACAGTGCTGGATGGAAGTTTGGGGAGAGTGACAAACCCCTTGCTCACCACTGTTTGGGGGGACATGGGACTCTGAGTAGCTGAGGAGTTTGCTTCCCCCCTCCACCGTACACACTTCCTTGACCTCACAGTCCAACTCATTTTTATTTTTTTAAACATATTTTTATTCATTTCAGAGAGGAAGGGAGAGGGAGAGAGAGAAACATCAATGAGAGAGAATCATTGATGGGCTTCCTCCCACACGCCCCCTACTGGGGATCGAGCCTGCAACCCAGGCGAGTGCCCTTGACCAGAATAGAACCTGGGACCCTTCAGTCCGCAGGCTGAGGTTCTGTCCACTGAGCCAAACCGGCTAGGACCCAAGTTACTTTTATTTAAAAGGAAAAAACAATTAAGAAATAAGTTAAAATCCACTTATGTTTTCACACACACACACACACACACCCTTTTTATGTTGTTCAAATGAGTCTCTCTGCCCTCCTGCCCCTCACCCCCCTCCTGCTGCAGAAGCCCAAGTGAAGAGTTTGGGTCTAAGCCCCCTGGCTCCTATCCTGTGCTGAGGGAACACAGCTACATTCACAACTACACTTTTTTTTTCTTTTTTGTCAAAAATGTCCTCCTGCCGAAACCGGTTTGGCTCGATGAATAGAGCGTCGGCTTGGGGACTGAAAGGTCCCGGGTTCGATTCCGGTCAAGGGCATGTACCTTGGTTGTGGGCATATCCCCGGTAGGGGGTGTGCAAGAGGCAGCTGATTGATGACTCTCATCGATGTTTCTAACTCTCTCTCTCTCTCCCTTCCTCTCTGTGTAAAATCAATAAAATATATTTTAAAAAATGTCCTCCTAACATAGATATGTGTCTGCAACCTGCTCTTCTCACTCAGCCTTGTCCTCTCTACATCTCTTCTGGCTAGTTCATGCAAGTGTGTCATTTTCAGCAAAGCAATGGTTATTTCTATATTTTTTGTTAATTTCCTTTGTCAATTGTTCTCTCAAACCATTTTTTCCTTATTAATATGTGGGAGTTCTCCCCCTGTGAGAAGTGTAAGCTATAGACTGAGATATGACCTCTAAGTCTTTCTTTAAAAGGGTTGGGGTGGGGGGTGCGGGCAGGAGGATTGGAGCAAGATGCAGAAGGAGAGGTTCCTCCCAGCCGGCTGCAGAAAGGGGTTTGGTGCTCCTTAGCCCTTTTATTCTTCAGAGCCAAGATGGGGCCTGAGGCTGTGGAGAGAACCGGGAAAAGAGTGCAGAGTAGTAGGAAGGGAAAACGGAATGAAGTGGGGAAAGGTTCCAGGAGGAACAAAATGATAAGAGCAGGCACAGAGAGCAGAGCCCAGGGGGGCGTTGCTGAGGCTGGTCTAAGCTGCTTTCTTCTCTCTCCAAGTCTGTTCAACCATCCATTCCTCCAGGACACACAGGGCGTCAGGAGTGAAGGTCCCAGGGGAGGGATGGGGGCAGAGAGGTGGACTGAAGGAAACCCACCCAACCCATCCCAAGGCTAAGTCTTCCTCCAAGCACCTGAGAAAGGGCACGTCAGTGTTTTCTCACTCCCTTTCTCTTCACCCAGTTCTCGTGTTTAACCTCATCAGGAGCTCCCTCCCACCCACCAGTAAGGGGACTGCACCAGCGGAATTTCTGCCCCTTCTCATTGCTTCTCCAGAATCCCTCCTTTCCCCATCCTGCAGAGTCTGGCGGGCTTCTTCACATCCACACCCACCCACCTCCGTTCTAAAGCCACAGAGGCCCTCGCTCCCCATGGAGGGGGGGCGCACTCCCCTTCCCCTACTCTACCTAATATTCATCCTCCAATCTCACTTCCTCAGGGAAGCCCACCATGACCCTCAGACTAACCCAAAGATCCCGGAATGTCTCACCCACTCCCTTCACACTCCCTTAGGGCTTGGTAAGGTTTGAGACTGTCTGTACTTGTGTGGTGGGCTGATGGCTGTCTATGTCCCTGGCTAGGCTGAAAGCTCAGCTCTTGTTAAGCAGCAACTTGACCAAGTCAACCACTATTGACCTAGGGAGTCTTGTGTCAGGCACAATTCGGGGGACAGGTGGGGGTGTTGTCATGAGGAACCGGGGCCGTTGGGTCAGTCCTGGAGCAAGACAGTCATGGAACCATGCTCCTCAGTATCTGTCTCTCCCTGGCTGGTGGTCGATGACAATGATTTTTTTTTTTTTGGGGGGGGGTGGAAGAATCAAGATTAAAGGGAAGCAGGAAGGATTTCAGGCGAGAATTCTTGACAACATGTGAGCAACGACCTCTCTGTGCACCTGTCTGTCCCTTTCTGTCTGGGACTAGGCAGGCCTTCCCTCCGTACTCAATGGCCCATTCATCACCGATTCTGTACACGACCAGCGTGGACCGAGCCTGGGTCCAGGGTGGGTCCTCAGGTGAGAGCGACCTGGGGGTGAGGAAGTTCAGCGTCCCAAAGGGTGTCATGAGCTCACGTAATGGAAGACCCAGCATTGACCCACCGCTCTGCAAACCGTCGCCCACCAGCTGGGAAGCGATGATGCTCCTTCTGAGGGAGCTGGATGCAGCGGCTCAGAAGCAGCGCATCCTGCGAGGCAGAAAAGTCCTGTCCCAGGACCCTGGGCGCCTCGGCAAACTGGGAGCAGAAACAAATGCCCCCGCGGCTCCAGCCAGACTGAGCCTCGGCGCGGGGCGCCCCCTGTCGTGCCGGCCGAGCAGCGCAGCCCGGCTCCGATCCGGCCAATGAGCGCTGCGGCGGCGGGCGTGCCCCTCGCGCCCCGGGCATAAAGGCCGCCCGCACCCGCCGCCCGCCACCCTTCTGTCCTCACACAGACTCAGAAGAAGCCACCATGGTGCTGTCCTCCGCCGACAAGAGCAACGTCAAGGCCGCCTGGGCCAAGGTTGGCGGCAGCGCTGGCGATTATGGCGCTGAGGCCCTGGAGAGGTGAGGCCCTCCTGCCTGCTTCCATCGCCACCCCGACCCGCACCCCGCACCCCGCACCCCGCACCCCGCACCCCGCACCCCAGGCTCTCAGAGTCCAGCAGCGCCTCCGCCCCCACCCCAGGCCCAGGCCCCTGCCCTGCACCCCCCACCCCTCCCCACCCGCCGCCGCCCTCACCCTCCTCTCCCCGCAGGATGTTCCTGAGCTTCCCCACCACCAAGACCTACTTCCCCCACTTCGACCTGTCCCACGGCTCTGCCCAGGTCAAAGGCCACGGCAAGAAGGTGGGCGACGCCCTGAGCAACGCCGTGGGCCACCTGGACGACCTGCCCGGCGCCCTGTCCGCCCTGAGCGACCTGCACGCCCACAAGCTGCGTGTGGACCCCGTCAACTTCAAGGTGAGAGACCTGGCCGAGCGCTCCCCTGGGCGCCAGAAGGTGGCCTCGCCCTGGCGCCCCCTCATGCCGCCTCTCCCCGCAGCTCCTGAGCCACTGCCTGCTGGTGACCCTGGCTTGCCACCACCCCGGCGACTTCACCCCCGCCGTGCACGCCTCCCTGGACAAGTTCCTGGCCACCGTGAGCACCGTGCTGGTCTCCAAGTACCGTTAAGCTGGAGCCGCGGCCACCCCACCCCAGGTGGGGCCCCTGGGCACTCCTCCGCCCGCACATCCTGATCTTTGAATAAAGTCTGAGTGGACTGCAGCCTGTGTGGCCTTGTTCTGTGGAGGGGGGTTCTCCTTGCTTCGGATCAGACCGTGGGGCCCCTCCGCAGCAGGCGATGGGAGGGAAGGGAAGGGAATGGAGCCTGTCCTGCTGTCACTTCCTGGGCTCCACTGAGCAACCCTCCACTCTCACCCTGGAGTGTTTCCCCACATTTCATTCCGGAGCTTTCGCTATTCAGCAGGACTTTACAGGATTCGTTTTCCGTTTTTCCGTTCTGCAGTGTTGACATTCAGAATGGGTGGGTCTCCAGCCCAGGGCCTCTGAGCTCTCCTGTGGCTCTTCGCAAAGCTGGACAGGGGGAAGTCACACTCTCTCAGGGACTAACTGGGCGCTCCTCCGTCACGTGCCTCCCACATACATGCACATCTGGATGACACTGGGTCTGAGCAGGGCGGTTGCAGACGCCAGGCAATTTCCGGCAGGCACCCTTTCCTCCTGGGTCCACCCCCAGGGTGCTCACTCTATATTTACTGATGTCCCGGAGCCCTCACGGGCCTGGGGGCCCAGTGCTGGGGCCCGGCTGGGCATCCAGGGCAGGCTGGCTCCTCTGGTTCCCCCGGTGCTGCGGGGAGAGGAGAAGGAGGGCCAAGGAGCCTGCGCTCTCATGTGTGTCCTCCCCACGGAGCTGGCCTCTAACTGCAGCCTCAGAGGGAGGGCCTGAGGGTCTGGTCCTGGCTGCTGTCCAGTACCAAGCTTCCAACGGAAAGCAGTGCCCTTCCTTCCCTGAGTTCCAGAGTGGTTCTTGGGGAGGAGAATAAAAAATAGTGGTCTTTGAAAAATAAGACAGCAGGTCTCCTGCTTCAGTGTGTGATGTGTTTAACACAGTCTGAGCTCTCGGTAAGAGGCAGTCTTCCTTATTTTACTATGAGGAAAAAAATGAAGGAATAACCCAAACATTCATCAACCAATAATCCAACAAAGGATGATACAATAAAATATTGTTCGTTGATAAAAAGCAAAGGCATATAGATACATAATACAAGGTGGGTAAACCTTGAAAATGTGCTAAGTGAAAGAAGCCAGACACCAAAGACCATGTATTGCAGGACACTATTGATATGACATACCCAGAACAGGCAAACCCACCGGGACAGAACACAGGTTGGTGGTTGGCAGGGGCAAGAGCAGGAAGGTTATGGGATGACTGCGAATGGATACAGAGTTTCTATTTGGGATGATGAAAAAGTTCTGGAATGGGATAATAGTAATGGTTGCACAACAGTGTAGATGTAATTAAGGACACCAAGTTGTCTACTTTAAAATGATTAAGATGATAAATTTTGTGTTACATGAATTTTACCACCTCCACCACCACAACTACAAAGAGTGGTGTCACATGGGCATTAGCTATTATTATCATACACCCTAGACACTCAATAAATAAATGTTCACTGTCCCAAAAGGGATACCTGCTATAAATGAAGCATTTACCATTTCTTGTCTATTTAATCCACACAAGCACCTTGGGAAGAGGTTATAGTCACTGTATACAATAAATAATAAAAAAAAAATAGACTGAGGGAGGTGTCAGCATAGACTTGGAAGGTAGAATAAGCTGACATGCAATGCTAAACAGTTGTGTTACCTGATAATAATATGTATTAACTACGTATTAGTTTCCATACAAAAACACTACAAACACGGGGCCTCAGGGTCCAGAGCGACTGGGAAGGTTCCAGGCCAGCGCAGATGGAATTGGACGCTACCCGATCCCTCTGGACCAGACTGCGGCGTGGCGCCCCCTGGAGGCCACGGGGACCTGCTGGCCGTTTGGCGCAGGCGCAGCCGTCGCCTCAGCGCGCTCCGCGGGCCCGCGGCTACAGGATGGCGCTGGCGGCGGCGGACCAGGCTGCGGTGCGCGCTCTTTGGAGAAAACTGAACAACAACGTGGGCGTCTACACGACGGAGGCCCTGGAGAGGTGCGGACAGGCCCCAGCGCCCTCTGGGCCCATCTGCCCTCCTGCTCGCCCCGGGGATGGGTCCCTGCCCTCCCGCTGCCCTGCTCCCCAAGCCCCGACTTCAGGGGCGCATCTCATGCCCATCCCTCCCACAGGACCTTCCTGGCTTTCCCCTCCACCAAGACGTACTTCGCCCACCTGGACCTGCGCCCCGGCTCCGCCCAGGTCAAGGCGCACGGCCAGAAGGTGGCGGACGCGCTGAGCCTGGCCGTGGCGCACCTGGACGACCTGCCCCGCGCCCTGGCGCCGCTGAGCGACCTGCACGCGCACCAGCTGCGCGTGAACCCGGCCAACTTCGAGGTGAGCCGGTGCGGTGGGGGCCGGGCCCTCCCGCCAGGACGGGTAGGGGTTCCCAAGGAAGGATGAGGGGGGACCGGTGGGCCACGGTGGGGGTGACTCCGTCCCTCCGCAGCTCCTGGGCCACTGCCTGCTCGTGACCCTCGCCCGCCACTACCCGGGAGACTTCAGCCCCGCGCTGCAGGCCTCGCTGGACAGGTTCCTGCGCCACGTGACTTCGGCGCTGGCCTCCAGCTACCGCTGAACGAGGGGTGGGTGACGGCGACCCCCCCCCCGGCGTTCTCTTCCTGCGACGACTGTTCAGAGTTTGAGTAAAGTCCCCGGCGAAAGCCTCCCCCCGCGTGCGCTCGTGTGTTCTCCGGGGGCGCGCGCCGGGGTCCTGATGGCGTTTGGGGAGGCGCTGCGCTGCACACCCATCCAGCCGTGCTCAGATCGGGGCGCCCCTGGACCGCGTTCTCTGGACGCCCTGGGGGGCTGAGGGGGAGGTTCAGGTCATCCCACCCTCGGCGGCCTGAGACGCTTCGTACATCGGGTCCCAAATGCCGTATTGTAAACCTCCACCCGCCAGGCCCTTGGCCGCAGCCACTCGGAAAGCCGGCCAAAGGCTCCGGCCCCTCGGGAATACGCTGCGGGCCATGGGCTCGCCCTAGCTGACCGGGCCCGGCCCCTCCCCAGAGCTCCTCGCTACGGGGCGCTCCACACAAAGCTAGGTACGCGGGACCTCGTCCCTCACTCACCTAGAACTGAGGGCGTGGTGCGGGGTAGCGGGGCCCCAGAGAAAATTAGGGAATGGCGTCCTCTGCTGGTGCGGACAGGACTTACACAGAACCCAACTTGCACAACAGTATACAGCGGCTCTAAAAAGGGTTTTGGGGATTTGGGGGTCTAGGAGGCTTGGGGTGAAGCCCCCATTTGCCAGATCCTGCACCTGGTGCCCCAGCACCCAGTAACTTAGGGGGACCAGAGTCTTTCCTACATCCACACTTGTAAGGAGACAGAGATCAGAACTGCTTTCTTTAAAAATTTTTTTCTCATTAAACCAACCATGGTCACAGTAGAAACTTAAGACAATGCAGTAACTACTCTACTTACTGTACATTCTTATATATCCTAGTGGGTTGAGAACATCTATTATTCCTTTAATTCCCATTTGACATGGGAAAACTATGTGTGGACAAATGGAGGACATGGGAGTCAGATACCAGGGCATACTTGTGACACACATACTGACAAACCACACACAAACAGATATAAACACACAATGGCAGAACAGCCCCATCCAGAAATGTAACAAAGTAATATTTAATATATAGTTCTAGGGACATTTAGAGATTTTGGGGGGGAGGGAAATGTTTTTATTTATTTATTTATAAAAATATTTTATTGATTTTGTGCAGAGAGGAAGGGAGAGAGATAGAGAGCTAGAAACATCGATGAGAGAGTCATCGAACAGCTGCCTCTTGCACACCCCCCACTGGGGACGCGCCGGCAACCAAGGTACATGCCCTTGACCGGAATCGAACCTGGGACCCTTCAGTCCCCAAGCGGACGCTCTATCCATTGAGCCAAACCGGTCTCGGCTGTTTGTTTGTTTTTAAATATATTTTATTGATTTTTTTTTGTGGAGAGGAAGAGAGAAGGATAATCAGAAACATTGATCAGCTGCCCCCTGCACATTCCCCACCAGGGATGTGCCTGCAACCAAGGCACATGCCCCTGACCGGAATTGAATGTTTCTGAGACCCTTCAGTCCACAGGTTGATGCTCTATCCACTGAGCCAAACCGGTTTTGGCAAGATTTTTTTTTTTTTTAAGAAATAATATCCTTGAAGTGACAATGGAAAAACTGGGCATACTGGATTATATAAATAGAAAAATACTCGATATGGAGAGAGAAAAATAAAGTTAAAAGAGAAACTAGAAGAAAAATATTTGCTACAGCCAAAACCGGTTTGGCTCAGCGGTAGAGCGTTGGTCTGCGGACTGAAAGGTCCCGGGTTCGATTCCTGCCAAGGGCATGTACATTGGTTTCGGGCACATCCCCGGTAGGGGTTGTGCAAGAGGCAGCTGGTCGATGTTTCTCTCTCATCGATGTTTCTAGCTCTCTCTCTCTCTCCCTTCCTCTCTGTAAGAAAATCAATAAAATATATTAAAAAAAATATTTGCTACAAACAGCAGAAAAAAGGTTATTACCACATCAATGAGAGAAAATTGTTGATCGGCTGCCTCCTGCACGTCCTTACTAGGTAGGGATCAAGGCCACAACTCAGGTATGTGCCCTGACCAGGAATTGAACCGTGACCTCCTGGTTCACAGGTTGATGCTCAACCACTGAGCCATGCCAGCTGGGCCCCACCCCCTACCCATTTTACATATACACGTACAACACATGGAACATTGAAAATGGGATTATATTACAAACACTTTTCTGCCTCAAGGAAACTCTTCTAAGTCACCTGGAATAGCTCTAATTCAGTCTTGTTGTTATTGGTAATTCTCACCTAAGGATATTTTTCCATTGATTTTTAGAGAGAGTGGAAGGAAGAGGGAGAGAGAGAGAGAAATACTGATGTGATAGAGACACATCGATTGGTTGCCTGCTGCATGTACCCCAACCACGGCCAGGGAACCTGCAACCAAAGTGTGTGCCTTTGACAGGAATCATAATTCATTGTCTTTTAATGGTCACATAATATTTCATTGGTGTGGCTAAGTCATATTTTTCAAACCATTCCACTTTTATGGGTTGTAATTTCTTTAATGTATCACATATTTGTTCTCATCCCCCTATTCCCATCCCCACCCCTTCCACGCATGCCCCCACACCCTGTTGTCCTTGACCACTGGTTAGACTCATATGTATGCACACAAGTTCTTTGGTTGATCTCTCCCCTTTGTCCCCACCTCCCCCTACACTCCCTCTGAGGTCCAACAGTCTGATCCATGAGGGTCTGTTTTGGTTCTTCAGTCTATGTTGTTCATCATTTCCCCTAGATGAGTGAGATCATATTCTTCTGGAAATGAAAAATAACTTTTAGAAATGAAGAATAGCCGAAGCCCGTTTGGCTCAGTGGATATAGCGTCGGTCTGCGGACTGCAAGGTCCCAGGTTCAATTCCGGTGAAGGGCATGTACATTGGTTGCGGGCACATCCCCAGTAGGGGGTGTGCAGGAGGCAGCTGGTCGAAGTTTCTCTCTCATCAATGTTTCTAGCTTTCTATCCCTCTCTCTTCCTTTCTGTAAAAAATCAATAAATTATATATATATAGTAAAACGAAATGGTTAGCTAGCCCCAGTGACTGAGCATTGACCTATAAACCAGGAGATCAGGGTTCAGTTCCTGGTCAGAGCACATGCCCAGGTTGCTGGGTATTTTTTTTTTTTTTTAAACATCAGAATAAATTATCTAGACTGCAGCCCCTGCACATCTTTCAATTTTGTGTTCCTGGTGCCTTACTTGCTTCACCCAATTCTGACTCTACTATAGAATGTACTTGAGGCAGAAAGAAAGTGACCCAGAGAGAAGACTGGGATTAACAAAGAAAGTGGTAAACACATTGTGCTCTCTTCAGTAGGGAGAGGCTGGGCCTGACTGGAGGGGGCAGATTGGTTGTAAGTCACAGAAATGCTGGGCCTTTGGGAGACATGGGGGTGGGGGGGCGAGGGGGGGAGTTGCATGAGTGTCTCAAAGGAGAGGCTTGAGGCCTCAGGAAGCCCAGGAAAATACAATACTGTTGTATTATACAGTATTATTATATATATAATGCTGTATTCTACATTTGAAAGTTGCTGACAGTAGAGTTTAAAAATTCTGACCATTGCCAGGACCGGTTTGGCTCAATGGATAGAGCGTCGGCTTGGGGACTGAAGGGTCCCGGGTTCGATTCTGGTCAAGGGCATGTACCTTGGTTGCAGGCATATCCCCAGTAGGGGGTGTGCAAGAGGCAGCTGATCGATGACTCTCTCTCATCGATGTTTCTAACTCTCTATCTCTCTCCCTTCCTCTCTGTATAAAATCAATAAAATATATATTTTTTTAAAAATTCTGACCATAAGAAAAAAAAAAATTGTGACTGTTGTGATGGATGTTAACTAGGCTTGTTGTGGTAATCATTTAGCAATGTACAAGTGTCAAGTCATTATGTTGTACACCTGAAACTAATATAGGTCATGGTGGGAGAAATCCCCTTACCCCTGCTCTGCTCCTGGATGGCACAGCACGGGTGCCCCTTGCACAACCTCCCTGGGAGGGCAGCCCCACAGGTGCTCAGTGTGGAAGGCAGGCAGGCAGGGTGACATGGGCAAAAGGACAAAGGCAGGAGGGGAGCTGGCAGATGCAGGAAAGAGGGAAGAGCAGCCTGTTTTAGCAAGTCCTCTAATAACTCAGACACTATCAAGTCCGAGAGCCATTCCATCTCCACATCCCAAACCCCACCGTGGCCTCCATCCTCTTCCCAGGGGAGGCACTTCCCCTGCATATCCCTCTCCCACTTGCCTGAATTATGCAGGGCACCACCTCCTCTAGGAAGCCCCCAGATCCCAGACCCAGGCAAGTGCACCAGCTACTGAGCAGCCTGCCACCGAGAGAGGATACCCACATTTCCACGTGATGCAGAGGGTCCAGGACCTGCTGGTGAAACCCAGGGTGGGTGCAACCCAAGGCGAGGCTCTCCTCTGCCCTGGGTCCCAGGAGCTCCCATGCAGCCTTCAGGGCCGGCAGTTTCTCCAGCCCTTCCCTCCACTGACAGGAAGCAAGATATAGGCAGGCGTCCCTAAGAATACGTAACTAGGGTAAACGTAAGGGGCCTGGAATCTATCACGACTGTTGGCTTTGCCTATCCAGTTCTCAGGGATTGCAGTGGCCCTGACCTGCATCCCTGCTTCTCCTCTGTAAACAAATATTTCCCACACTGTTTTATTTTTAAAGGGGGCTCAAGGTGGAGTGGGTCCCCTCTGGGCCAACCCCCTCATGGTATTATACATGGGTGGCCTCCTTTTGGCCCCATGTGCCATGCCCCTGGAGCTTCCACCTGGGAACTCCCCTCTGCTGAGACCCCAGGTGAGGATGAGGTTGTATTAATAGCATCCTCAGAGCAGCCTGTGCCATGTTGTGCATTGCCCCCATCAGTTTGACCTCCACTGTGCCCACCCAGAGGGCAAGTCCGCTGTCCGCTGCCCTCCTGGCACCCAAGAGATTGGCGAGCGCTTGGAACCCATGAGACTCAAGGGCTTGGGGTGCGCCAGGGGCAGGTACCTTCAGCACTAGGGTTGAAAGAGCTGGGCACAAAGTCTGGACCCCATCCTCCCAGCACAAGGGCTCAGACCAAGTCCTGGATTAACTAGAGAAAGGCCAAGTGTGCAGGGAGGGGCTATAGCCCTCCAGCCCTTTTAAAAATATATATATTTTATTGATTTTTTACAGAGAGGAAAAGGGATAGAAAGTTAGAAACATCGATTAGCTGACTCCTGTGCACCTCCCACAGGGGATGTGCCCATAACCAAGGTCCATGCCCCTGACTGGAATCGAAACCGGGATTTTCGGTCCACAGGCCGACGCTCTATCCACAGAGCCAAACCGGTTTCGGCCCTCCAGGGCTTCCTAACAGCTGTCTTGACCTCAGCCCCACCTGCCTTCTGGCTGGAACCCCAGGCCTACTCCTAAATCCAGGGACATCTGCCTTTTCAAAACCACCACCCTCCATGCATGACACATGACCATACTTAATGCTCTTCAGATGTAATTACAAATGGTTACAATAGTAAATTTTATATACATCTTACTATAATAAAAAGAAACCCTGCCCTAGCCAGTGTGGTTCAGTAGCTAGTGTCAGCCAGCACAGTAGAGGGTCAAAGATTTGATTCCTGGTCAAGGATTGCAGGTCCAATCCCTACCTCCAGTTGGGGTGCCTGTAGGAGGCAACCAATCAATGTGTCTCACATAGATGTTTCTCCTCCCCTCCCCGCCCCTAACCCTTCCTCTCTCTCTAGAAATCAATGGGGGGAAAATATCCTTGGATGAGGATTAAAAGAAAAAGAGTCCTAACTGGTTTGGTTCAGCCTGTGGACTGAAGGGTCCTGGGTTTGATTTCAGTCAAGGGCACATGCTTGGGTTGCAGGCTGGCTCCCCAGTATGGGGTGTGCAGGTGGCAGCCCATCAATGATTCTCATCACTGATGTTTCTAACTCTCCCTCTCCCCTTCTCTCTGAAATCAATAAAAATGTATTAAGAAAAATAAAAAACACCCTACCTGTATACCCCCTATTCACCCGTTGCCCGAGCTGGGATGTCTTCTGCCAGCTTCAGTCTAGCCTGTGCCTGTGACAGGCAAGCTAGGCTATGCAACTGAGACAGGAACCCATTATCCAGTTCCTTTTCCCTCTGACTCTTCCCTCCCAGAAACACCCTTAACCCATTCAAGGCTTCCCGCCACTCGTGTCCACTTCCCAAACCCAAGCGGGCATGCCTCTACCCAGCTAGCTTGGTGTCCACCAAGCAGAGCTCCAGTGACGTGGCTTTGTTCCGGTCCAGCTTAAGCTGCAGAAGGGGCAGTGTGGCTTGAGTGGCGGGACACCTATGACCATGCACTGCTTTCCCCGCCAGGGGAAACCTGTCACAAGCCAGCAGAGCAAGTGCATCTACCTGCATGTCCTCCCAGAAGGGGACTCACTGCAGCAGGGAGCCCAGAGCAGGACCACCAGCCACATTACGGTGCTGGTAGTCACACGATCCAGACCCAGTACCCGGTGCTCATAGAAGGGGTGGGGAGGACTGTTTTCATAATCTGCCATCAGAAGCTCCTTCCAAAAATAACCCAAAAACCTCCCTGAAGTGAAAAAGGGAACGACTCCCAGTTATCCTTTCGGAAGGGCTCATTCTAGCGTGGAGATATGAAGAGCTGAGAGAGAGGATACCACCACTGACCCTCTTGAGTGTGAGTCCAAGCACAGCCTGATCCTCCTCCGGGGAGCCTGTGGCTGCTAAGTGGATATTCTGGACACTGCAGTGTAGCTCCCCTGAGCTAGTGCCAGGTCAAGCCATGCTAAGAGCAGGTTAGTCAGGTCTAAATTCCTAAAATGTGGACAGATGGGGTACCTACCTCCTTCCTAGTGGAGCCCGTGGTCTGCACTGAGGGGTGGAGCCAGGCATATCTAGATCCGGTCATTAGGGCAAGGGGAGGTGGGGGTGTCAGATGGCCAAAGTCAAAGGGGAGTCCCAACTGGAAGTCATAATTTCTGAAGATGAGCAAAGCTCACTGAGACAATGCCCACTGACACCACATGTGAAGGCCGAGGTGCCGCGCCTAGAACATACAGGAACGGCAGAGACTCCATTGCAGCAGTCAGGAGGCAGTCAGTCAGATTTATTTATTCCTACTCAACATAACCCCGGAACACAGGAGTAATTCTGTACATCTCTAGAAACTCACAGCTAGCTCCAAAACAATAGAAACTTTAAACTACAAAAGATGTGTTGTATTCGGCAAATATAAAGGGTAACTTCAGGCTGTCACACATTCATCAGACTATTTACAGCGCCAGGCAGAGGTTCAGATCTCTCCAGCCTCCTTCTCCTCCGACGTCTTCCCATTGGAGCTTTCAAGCCTCCAGTCAGTGGCCCCACGCTCACTCCGACCTCGCTCCCAGGACTCCTCCCTCGATGCCCGCTCTCTGGAGAACCTGGGAATGGGAACCAGAGGGTCAGCCGAGGCTGTTGTCTCCCTTGGGACTGTCTCCTCAGATGCCCCTCAACACCAGGCCAAGGAAGGCCAACACCCACCCCACCAAGGCTCCCTAGCACGCCAGAGAGCAGACAGGCCTGCCATCTCATGCCCAACCCATAACCCTAAAAAGGGACATTTGAAAATATTTCTAATACAAACAGAGCAGCTATAATATAAACAAAGCAAAGGAAAATGCAATAAAAGGTTCACATGCAGAATATGACCCATTATGAAAAAAAAAAGAAAAAAGACTAAATGCAAGCATATCAAAATAGTAAGTGTGGTGTTTTTTACTTTAGAAAAGCCGCAACAGAGATGAGCAGGGCACAAGCCTCAGGGGCTCTATGTATCAAAGGGATAGCGAGCTGGCAGCCTGAGTGTGTCAGACACCTCGTGAAGCTGTGCTCCCGTGTGACCACCCACAGCCTCTCCATCGTCCCAGCCCAGAGTCCATCCGCTGCGCTCAGCTCAGGACTCCCAGGGCTCTGGGTTCCATTTGCCACTCCTTAAGGCCCAACACTCAGTCCCACAGATGCCCAGCCAGCCTCCTGAGCAACAGGCACGGCTGACAGACCCCAGCAGCCCCTGGGAACACAAAGAGAAAGGGCTCACTCCTGGTCGCAGCTACTGAAGAAGTCAGAGTAGTTACTTGTATTTCGCACTCCGGTCCCTGGAATTCCGGCGGTGGCCACGGCTGTGGCTCCGGGAACGGCTGCGGTGCCGCCGGTGTCTGTCTCGGGACCGGGACCGGGAAGGCTTTCGCCGTTCTCGGGAGAGGGATCTTGACCGCCTCCGACGCCGGTCCCGGGAACGCGACCTGCAGGAGACCAGAGGCTCTGGAGGCTGTGGTGGCTCCACCCGAACCGCCCTCCTCTCCCTGCACATTGAGCTTGGTGCTTTCCTGGATCTCCCCTTCCCTCCTACAAACTTACAGTTCGGCTCACAACAGTTCCATCAATTAATCTCTGGTCAGAAAGAATATGACCAGACCCATCCCACCAAAGCATCTTGCTGGGACACTCCTGGCCACCGAGGACCTCGGCAGTGCTCCCTCTCACTGTCATCACTGACTGTGGATCTTTCTGCTGGACTAAGTCCCAATCAACCCAACGACAGATGGGGCTCCAGTCTGACCTGTGCCCATGCTCCCCCACAAGCCAGCCTACCCACCAGATAATAATGTGAAGTTATAAAGGTTAAATATTAAGAAAAATGCATGTGTGCTCAGGCCAGGTAGCTCAGTTGTTTAGAGTGTCCTCCCGATGTGCCAAGGTTGTGGGTTCAATCCTCAGTCAGGGCACAAACAAGAATCAACCAATGAATGCATAAATTAAGTGGAACAACAAATTGATGTGGGTTTTTTTTTCCCTTTCTCTCTCCCCCCACCTTCCTCTCTAAAATAAAAAAGAAAAATGCATGTGGAAAAGATCATGTGATTGAGAACACTTAAATGGATGTTTGTTTTTAAACCTCACCTGAAGAGTTTTTCATTGATTTTGAGAGAAATGGAAGGGAGGGGGAGAGAAAGAGAAACACCAATGTGAGAGAAACACATCCATTGGTTGCCTCCCCAACACATCCCTACTAGGACCCAGGATCAAACCAGCAACCGAGGTACATGCCCTTGACCAGAATAGAACTCAGGACCCTTCAGTCCACAGGCCAATGCTCTGTCCACTGAGCAAAACTAGCTAGGGATTAATTGGATCTGGAAACCTACCTCCTTCGATCTCCGGTTCTTGATCCAGACCTAAAACTAAAGGCAGAAAAAAAAAATAAAAAATGAACGATTTCCCCCAAACAGCCCCTTCCCACACACTAAGGGGAGCAGTCCCAATTCTACAAGGTGACTTCCCACAGAAACCTGTTATCTTCTGCAGTGTTTCCCAAACTTTTGACATATGTGTACCCCTTCTATATTTTTTGTAACGCTGAGTACCCCTCGTACTCATGAGTATGTAGAATTAGGCTCAGCTAAGCACGGTGCAGTGCATATCCCCACCAGACTCTTCCCATGCCCCTGAGGGTCCGCGTACCACACTGGGAAACACTGTTCTAGAGGTTCACTTGTTCTCAGGCACACCAAGTGTCAATGCTTACAGAATGAGGTGCACCTCCAACCCCCAGCTCCTAGCTGCTTTTGGCAAAAGGACAGGACTGGCACCCTGAATTCAACAACTGACTCTGCGAAGTCTTTCTAGTGGACGCTAGCTCACCTAACAGACATAGGGCTGGATAGAAGAGAAAGTCACCATGACACCAAAGTTAAAGCAGAACCTCAAATTCCAAACATAGGCTCATTGCCAGAGGAAGGTCAGATGAGGCCCTTGGGGAATAATATACAATCAACAATCCAAAAAATAGAATTGAGATCTCATTTTACAGTGTCCACAGCAAAAGCTTACATGATTGCCACCAACATGGGCTGAGGAGGAAATGACAGAACATGGTCTTATACTGTGTGGTTTAAGATGATTTAATAAAGCTGCTTGGAAAGCAATTTCTGTAACACCTACCAATATTTTATTAAATTCTTTTATGCCAGGAATTCTAAGGAATTTTATAAAACACTCAAAACATATACAAAGATGATCTCTAAAGTAACTGTTCAAAAATAGTTTTATAAAAACAGTCATAAAAAATTAAAGTTGGCCCTAGATGGTTTGGCTCAGTGTAGAGCATCAACCTGGGTCACAAGGGTCCCAGGTTCGATTCTGGTCAAGGGCACATGCCCTGCGGTTGCGGGCTCGATCCCCAGTAGGGGGCATGCAGGAGGCAGCCAATCAATGATTCCTTCTCATCACTGATGTTTCTTTCTCTCCCTCTCCCTTTCTCCCTGAGATCAATAAAAATATTTTTAAAAATGTTTAAAAAACAAATTAAAATGGGTTGCCCTGGCTGGTGAAGCTCAGTTGTTTGAACATTTGTCCAGGGCACCAAAAGGTCATTGGTAAGGGCACATGCCCAGGTTGTGGGTTCGGTCCCAAGTCAGAGAGCATTTAAGAGACAACTGATCAATGCCCCCCCACCTTATTCTCTAAAACCAATAAAAACATATTTTTTAAAAAAATATCATCCCTGCCGGGACCGGTTTGGCTCAATGGATAGAGCGTCGGCTAGGGGACTGAAAGGTCCCGGGTTCGATTCCGGTCAAGGGCATGTACCTTGGTTGCGGGCATATCCCCAGGTGGGGGGTGTGCAAGAGGCAGCTGATCGATGACTTTCTCTCATCGATGTTTCTAACTCTCTATCTCTCTTCCTTCCTCTCTGTACAAAATCAATAAAATAAAAATTAAAAATAAAAAAAAAATTTAAAAATTGATTAACATTTAAAAAAAAAAATTAAAAAAAAAATAAAAATAAAAAATATCATCCCTTCCAACCCCTCCCCCCCCCCAAAATTAAAAATGATAGGCAATAGCCTTGGTCAGATAACTCAGATGGTTAGAACATTGTCCCAATACGCCCACCAACATTGCAAATTTGGTCCTGGGCAAGGACACATATAAAAATCAACCAACAAATGCATAAATAAGTGGAACAATAAGTTTCTCTCTCTCTCAAATCAATATATTTTTTTTAAAGGATAGGCAACAAAAGCAAAAACAAGTGGAACTATATCAAACTAAAAAATCATCAACAAAACGAGAAGGCAACTACAAAATACAAGAATATATTTTTATTTTAAATATATTTTATTAGTTTTTTTTTTACAGAGAGGAAGGGAAAGGGAGAGAGAGTTACAAACATTAATGAGAGAGAAACATCAATCAGCTGCCTCCTGACCACCTCCTACTGGGGATGTGCCTGCAACCAAGGTACATGCCCCTGACCGGAATCAAACCTGGGACTCCTGAGCAGGCCGATGCTCTATCTACTGAGCCAAACCGATTAGGCCTCAAGAACATATTTGTAAATTATATCAAATAAGGGTTTAATATACAAAATGTATAAAGAACTCTTAAAACTCAAAAGGAAAAACATCCAATTAAAAAATAGGCAGAGAATCTGTATAGAGATTTTTCTGAAGATATACAAATACATAAAAAGGTGCTCGATAGCACTAATCACCAGAGAAATGTAAATCAAACCCATAATGAAAGATCATACCTGTTAGACTGGTAATGATCAAAAAGACATTTTGCCCTGGCCAGTGTGGCTCAGTGATAGAGCATCAGCTAGTGCAATTAAGGGTTGAGAGTTCCTTTCTCAGACCTGGTCAGGGCACGTGTGGGAGGTAACCAATTGATGTCTCTTTCTCTCACATTGATGTTTCTCTCCTTCCCCATCCCTCCCTTCCACTTAAAAATAATAATAATAATAATAATGATGATGATGATGATGATGATGGGAAAAAATATCCTTGGACCCAGCCAGTGTGGCTCAGTAGCTGCACATAGACCTATGAACCAGGAGGTCACGATTGGCTACCCAGTCAGGGCACATGCCTGGGTTTTGGGCTCGCTCCCCAATAGGGGGCATTCAGGAGGCAGTAGATCAATGATTCATCATTAATGTTTCTATCTCTTTCTACCTCTTCCTTCCTTTCTGAAATCAAAAAAAAAATATATATATAAAAAAAAAAAAAAAAAGGCATGGGGCATTTTAGCCCTGGCTCGTTTGGCTCAGTGGACAGTATTGGCCTGTGGACAGAAGGGTTCCAGGTTCGATTCTGGTCAAGGGCACATGCACTGTTGTGGACTCTATCCCCAATGGGGTGTGTGTGTGTGTGTGTGTGTAGAAGGCAGCCAATCAATGATTCTCTCTCATCATTTATGTTTTTATCTCTCTTCCCCTCTCCCTTCCTCTCTGAAATCAATTTAAAAAAATTTTTTTTAAGAAGACATTTTAGCCGGGACCAGTTTGGCTCAGTGGATAGAGCGTTGGCTTGGGGGACTGAAGGGTCCCGGGTTCGATTCCGGTCAAGGGCATGTACCTTGGTTGTGGGCACACCTCCCCAGTAGGAGGTGTGCAAGAGGCAGCTGATCGATGACTCTCTTTCATCGATGTTTCTGGCTCTCTGTCTCTCTCCTTTCCTCTCTGTACAAAAATCAATAAAATATATTAAAAAAGAAAAAAGAAGACGACATTTTAAGTGTTGGCAAGGCTGTAGAGGAAGGGGAGCCCTTCCCTCCACCCCCCCAAAAAAGGAAAGGGAATCCTCATACACTGTTGGTGGGAATGCAGACTAATGCAGCCACTATAGAAACTAATATGGAAAGTCCTTAAAAATTCAAATTAGAGCTGAAACCGGTTTGGCTCAGTGGCTAGAGCGTCAGCCTGCGGACTGAAAGGTCCCAGGTTCAATTCCAGTCAAGGGCATGTACCTTGGTTGCAGGCACATCCCCAGTAGGGGGTGTGCAAGAGGCAGCTGATCGATGATTCTCTCTCATCGATGTTTCTAACTCTCTATCCCTCTTCTCTTCCTCTCTGTAAAAAATCAATAAAATATATATTTTTTTAAAAAATTCAAACTAGAACCACCAATGCCCCAGCAATTCCACTTCTAGGTAAAGTAGTCCCCCCTTTCCTACAGCTTCAGTTACCCATGGTCAACCTCAGTCTGAAAGCATTAAATGAAAATTCCAGAAATAAAAAATAAGTTTTAAATTGCACACCATTGAGTAGATTGATGAAATCTTGCAGCATCCCACTCCATTCTACAAATCATCCCTTTGTCAAGCACATCTATGCTATATACATCACCTGCCTGCTAAGTCACTTAGTAGCCATGTGTGAACAAGTGGTGAAGTACCACATTGCTTGTGTTCAAGTCACCTTTATTCTACTTGATATTGGCCACAAAGAACAAGAGTAATGATGCTGGCAATTTGAATGTGCCAAAGAGAAGCCGTAAAGTATATATAGGAGGAAAAAACCAGCTTATTTGAGGGTTTTATGCTAAGTGAAATAGGACAATTAAGACAAATACTATCTGATTTCACTTATACGTGGAGGCAGGGGATGGGGGAGTGAATGAAAAGGGTGAAGATGGGGGGAAAGAATACTGTTATGACACATCATTGTAAGGACACACCTGCTGTGGGATGAGCTCAGATATCAGCTGAGGATCCCACAGGTACCAGTGCACACAGACACAACCACACCACAGTGGTCACCTCTGTGTAAATAGGGACTTGCACATTGTGCTTGAATATTTTTATACTGCTTGAGTTTCTTTACAATCAGAATCTGTTAGGTAATTAATGAGAAAAAATACACTAAATTCCTATTTATCCTTCCATAGTTACACACTGAGGAATTCCTTCAGGAAAACCCAGTTTCTGGGCCTTTCAAAGACAATGAGCTATGCCCAGAGAGCAGTTACTTCTGGCTCAAGTCTCTTCCCTGACCTCCAACCAGATTCTTACACATCTCAAACTGAGTATGGCCAGAGTCGTTATACTCCCTACATCCTCCTCATGCCAACACATAGCTCCTAGTCTTTCCTACCTCCGAAGATGGCCACTTGAGGCCAGAAACCATGACTCCAGCTCTATTCCCCCTTGGCTTGCCTCACAACTGACTACCAAGAAATCTTACCAGCTCTATACCTAGGCCCTTCCCACCCTCACCTGATTCAAACTTCCACCTCCTCCTTCTGGGCTCTCCCAGCGGGCTTCTCACTATTCTCCCTGCTACTGCCCCTACAACCTGCACTTATTCACAAGGCAGCTGGTCCCAATGTCCTCCACTGGCCCCATTTCACTCAAGCCAATGCCAGAGGCTAAATAGCCCAAGGGCCCTCTCCCACAGCTAGGTATAGCAGTGTGACACCTTTTCCTGCCTGTCCTGTTTGGTCCTGTTTGCTGAGTGCTACATCCACAGGAATCCGGATGTAGCAGGTTCCTCTCCCTCTTCTGCTCTTTACCCTGGGGAGGGAGGGGGAATGGGGGAGAGTGGTATCTACATCTTTCCAGATAAGAATTAGGTCCCAGAGCTCTCGTGCAGCCGAAGATAGCCCAGTCCAGTGCTGCACTGCTGTGCACACACAGGTCTTTCAAGGCCAGTCAAGACCTCGCTCAACTGGACATGCTGTGAGTTCACTTTCTTTTAACTGCCTCTTAGGTACGTAGCAACCTCAAATGTTATCAGCAACACTGCAATGGAAGTAGGGGTTCCCTTACTATGTGCTGCCGCGGGCTCACCTCCTGCTCAGCCGCTCCTCACGCTCCCTCTCTTCTCTCCTCCTCAAGCGATCCTGGTTTCTCTTCTCCTGTTTTTCAGCCACAGTTTTCTAAATAAATGGAAAATTGGAAAATAAGAGAAGAGAAAGTTACATAGAGTATAACTATTGTTTAATAAAGCACATTTATATGACCTCAATATTGGTAATTTAAAAATCTAAGAGAAAGTCTTAAACAAGAACATGGTCAATTTAAAAACTTTTTAAACAATGAAAAACTCATTTTAAAATGCTTTATCATCATATTTAAAAATTTTTAACTTATTTTAATTGATTTCAGAGAGGAAAAGAGAGGGAGAGAGAGAAACATCAATGATGAGAGACATTATCGATCAGCATGCCTCCTACTAGGGATCGAGCCCACAACCCAGGCATGTGCCCTGACCATTAATCAAACTAGGTTCTCCTGGTTTATAGGTTGACACTCACCCACTGAGTCATACTGGCTGGACTATCATTACATTTTATAAATTCAGTGACATACTGCATATCCTTTTTTTAAATCCTCACCTAAGGAGTGAGGCTGTTTTTCCATTAATTTTTAGAGTGGCCCGGGGCAGGACACAAGAGCTCCACAACACTCCAGTGACTCTGGGCCTCTGGGCAGTGTGGGAAGGCGGGAAGGCGGGAAGGGGGAAAGGCAGCTCCAGGTTGAGCAAAGGCAGAGCCAGCAGCCAGGGGGAGGAAGGCCCATTCTTGCACAAATCTTCGCGCACTGGGCCTCTAGTTGCACTATAAAACTCAAGGCACATTCTTAGGATAAGAACAAAAGTTTTCTTGAAGGATCTGAATGTGAAGATCACAAGACTTCTTAGGTTTCTCCAAAAACACAATACATTAACATACCCTCAATTGATCAAGCTTCTCTCGGATCTGAATGAACCCCAAGTGCAATTTGCCCCCAAAGTGGTCTGCAAGTCGACGGTCATTGTCATGGAGACCAAGGTAGGCTGAGCAGACTTCACAGACACGCAACTTCTGCTGCTGAAAACTGGATGCAGGCATGGAATTTCTGTATTCTTCCTGGAAAAAGAGAATGGAGTTGTGAAAATGCCACCAAATAGTCAACCACTAAAATGAAAATATTTAAAGGGACTATAGGAGTTATAAATAAATAAGAATTTGATCCTTTCAAAGCTTCAGATATTTTTTAACCAATTTAACCTCATCATATATATAAGAAATAAACAGCTCTAGCCAGTTCAGTTGGTTAGAGGTCATCCCAAATAGGCCAAGGTTGCAGGTTCAATCCCCGGTCAGGGCATATATAAAAACCAACCAATGAATGCATAAATAAATGGAACAACAGATCAATTTTCTCTCTCTCTAAAAATCAATTAAAAAAAATTTTTTTGAAAGAACCAACAGTCATGATTTTAAAACAAGGAAAATTCAAAACATCCAGACCAGCAGGATGCTGCCTATTCTCAGAAAGAGTAGTGAAGGCAGGTCTCTAGGCACTGTAGGGAGTGAAGACCAGAGAAGCAAGACAGGAGAATCTTTAGCAGGGTCCTTCAAAAAATAAACCAAATAAACAAGAAAAAAAACTCGAGCACCATCCACAAAATTTGTGTCCCAAGGTCTAGGAAACTATATCCCAATGTATCACCAAAAGTTAAAACAAATATATTAGACACTCTCTTTAAAGAAGAAAGTGTGCACAACAAAACAAAACAAAACCAATTCCCTCCTGCAGCCACTACAGTCTGTGTCCAATCACAAGAAGTAACTCACTCAGGCTCAAAATATATAAGACACGAAAGAAAATGAAACATGACATGGAAATTGCTGCCTGTGTCTAAGTTAAAATGCCCCTTCAAAATCCAGGTTTAAGATATGCATTATCTTATCCTTAAAGGGACACTTGCTTGTAAGTAATCTATTAATTCTCACATTCAAAACATTTCCTAGAAAAGACAAATTAAAATAAGATACCACATCACTCTCACTAAACTGACAAATATACAAAAAACAGGCACTCTCATACATTACTGCCAGGAAGAGCCTGAATTGGTACAACTAATGTGCAGTGCATGTTAGTGATCTATCTAATGGAAGAGGGACATACACATGCTATTACCAGAAACTCTCCTTCCTTCCTAATCCATGTCCTAGAACACTCTCACATGCACTAGTGGACAGGATCTAGAACACTCACTGTATAACTGTTTGTAAAGATAAGAAATCCTCAAAACCTACAAAACGGCCAATGGACAGTCATCCTATCCTATCCTACATAATAACCAATATATGTATCCTATCCTATATAAGAAAAGGCTAATATGCAAATTGACTGAACATCGGAACAACTGGTCGCTATGACGTGCACTGACCACCAGGAGGCAAGTGCAAAGCACAGGAGCTGCCCCTGGTAGTCAGTATGCTCCCATAAGGGAACTCCGCTCCCTGGCAGTGATGGGGGTCAGACATCCCCCAAGAGCCCCCAGACTGCACAGGCCGGGCTGAGGGACCCTCCTGAATGCACATATTTCGTGCACAGGACCTCTAGTATGTTCATAAAATGGAATCCTACAGCAATAAGCTAAAAGAACAGATCTATAGGCAGCAACATGGAGAGATCTCACAAATAATGCTGAGTAAAAGATGCAAGTGAATAAAAAATATACATAGTGTGAACAGAATTTATGTAAGACTTTAAAAATTTAATATATTTTTATTATCTTCAGAGAGGAAGGGAGGAAAGGGAGACGGAAACATAAATGAAGATGGAAACATACGTCGTTTCATGGTTACATTACCATCTCCCATTTACAGTATTAAGGTAACAGGGTAACAGGACCTCTGTATTCTCTCCTGCACACCCCACACTGAGAATTGAGCCCACAACCCGGGCATTGTGCACTGACCTGGAATCAACCATGACCTCCTGGTTCACAAGTTCACAGTCAACCACTAAACCACACCAGTGGGACATGTAGGACTTTTTTAATGCACAAAGTACATCCCCCTCACACACATGCATAGTGTTTATGGGTATACATGTGTAATAAAGTATAAAGACAGAATTGAAGATTATGTTACATGTACAATAATGCCGGCCTCTGAAAAGGGAGGAAAAGTGGGACTAGAGAGGAAGGGAAACAGAGAACTTGAATTTCCATTATAATGCACTACACATTTTTAAGTAAAAACAAAAACAAAAAAATCTTAAGCAAAAATTATAAATACGTTGGTTATACACATACAGGCAGTCCTCGGGTTCCGTAGGACTCAACTTACATCGTTTCATGGTTACATCACCATCTCCCATTTACAGTATTTATTTTAAAAAGTTCCATCATTTCAACGTATATACATATGTGCTTTATGTTTATTATTATTTATTTACCACAAGTTCAGGAATTGTTCTTTTAAAATTTTTTTACTGTTTCACTTCATTACTGCTGTGTATGTGCTCCATGTGAGTGACGTAGGTGCTTATGTAGGTGGGTTCCAACTTATGGCAAAAATCCAGTTATGTCGCACCATAGGAACCTATCTCCCACGTAACCCAAGGACTGCCTGTATTTATGATACTGTTTCCCCTTCTGTAGTTTTGTAACTTTGAATGCTATTCTGCAATATCTCTCAAGATAAATTCTAATTATGTTAACTGAAAAGCCAATTCTGCCCTGGCCAGTGTAACTCAATTGGAAGGTCGCCAGGTTGATTCCAGGTCAGAGCACATGCTCAGGTTGTGGGTTCAATCACTGGTTGATGTCTCTCTCTCTCCCTCTCTCCCTTCCTTTCTCTAAAATCAATTTCAAAAAAGAATGAGAGCCGAAACCGGTTTGGCTCTATGGATAGAGCGTCAGCCTGCAGACTGAAAGGTCCCAGGTTCGATTCCGGTCAAGGGCATGTACCTTGGTTGCGGGCACATCCCCAGTAGGGGGTGTGCAAGAGGCAGCTTATCGATGATTCTCTCATCGATGTTTCTAACTTTCTATCCCTCTCTCTTTTTCTCTGTAAAAAAAAATCAATAAAATATATTTAAAAAAAAAAAAAAAAAAGCATGAGAAAAGAAAGCTGATCCCAAGGTTACATACTTTATAATTCAATTTATATAACTTTCTTGAAATGACCAAATAAACACATGGAGGACAGATTGGTGGTTGCCAGAGATTAGAGAAGTAGGTGTGGCTATAAAGGGCAACAGAATGGGGATCTGTGGTAATGGATGTTTATATATATATATATATATATATATATATATATATATACACACACACACACACACACACACACACACACACATATATACATACACTTATATATACTTAAATATATTTTATTAATTTCAGAGTGGAAGGGAGAGGGAGAGAAACACCAATGACGAGAGAGAATCTATAATCAGCTGCCTCCTGCTCTCCTCCCCCCAACACACACTGGGGATGGAGCCCATAGGACCAGGAATCGAACCAGGACCTCCTAGTTCATAGGTCAACCCTCAACTACTGAGCCACGGCGGCCACACTGGATGTTCTGTACCTTGTTATTATCAGTATCCTTTCTATGATACTGTGCTAGTTTTATAACATTGGGGAAAACAGGTAAAGGGTACGCAGGATCTCTGTACTCTCTTAAGCCTGCTACTAAGAACAAAAAGGATCCCACAGGTGCTACACCACCACAGTCCCAAGCCTTCCCACACACCGTCTGTCTTGCCTGGTGGTTTTAAGTGGTGCTGCCTCTTGATGGTACTCACAGTGATGGGAACAGAAACAGCAGCAGGAGCAAGGATGCTAGCAATCCTGGGCATGAATAGCCATGTGTCCCATATCCTTCCTGCTCCTGTCACATCTACAATAACTTTAGCCCACTGGTCGGCAAAGTCATTAGTCAACAGAGCCAAATATCAACAGTACAATGTCTGAAATTTCTTTTGAGAGCCAAATTTTTAAACTTAAACTTCTGCTAACGCCACTACTCCAAAATAGACTCGCCCAGGCTGTGGTATTTTGTGGAAGAGCCACAGTTTGCCGACCACAGCAGTTTAGCCTATGTGTAAATCTTCGAGCCATCACAGACTTTGGTGTCTGCTTGGTTCTTTGAAGCAGGAAGAGCTGGTAAGAGGCCACGAGGGCCTTTCCTGACGCCCTGGGTCTTTCTGGTACAGCTGAGCTGTCAGCAGCAACTCAGGGAGCCTAACATCTGTACTACATATGAACACAAATTTCTCATGTAAGCATGAAGAGCTCTAACCTAGTTCCTATAAAGGAAGGGATGCCAGGGGGCACAGTAAAGACAAGCCCAAGCATGCATTGGGATCCCGTCAATGTCTCACCTCATTTTAACTCCTTCCTAAGATTCAAAAAAATAGAGGCATGGCTTAAATTTCAGTCCAGGGTCAACTCTCTGGCATACCTCAGTTTCCCCTTTCTCTAAGACATTTTTCTCACCAACCTCAGCTTCTTTTTTCTTTGCACGGACTTTCTCCACTTCCATAAGAATTTTCTGGGATTCATCCACATTTCCTTCTGCTCCCAGCTGCTCAGCTTTAGCAAGAAGTTTTCCTATTTCTTCATTCAACTCATGTACTTTTTCTGCCTGAGGAGAGAGAGGAAACAATCAAGCAAGAAGCATCCAAATAGCGAACGATTCTTAATACAAAGAAAATGAGCGTGTTTCTTGCTGAATTTCTCTGTTCCACTGAAAATAAACAGAACAGTTATAGATCCGTGGTGGCTCACATAAATTGTGACAATTACAACATCCTTATTGCCAACACTGAGACTCTGACCATAAACTAAACCTGTACACTATGTTTCAATAAAAGCACCAACATCTCTGTCATTTCCAATATGGCTGCAAGGATCAATATTGGTCATTTTCTAGGCTGTGTCTTTTTATGTCTCCTTCACAGTTCGATATTTTGGGGTAAGAGTAATAAAATGTCTAGGTTTAAATATATGAAACTTATTCTATAAGCAAGATGCCTAATTATTTTTATTTACTTTCAGAAATAAACAGCACTTTTGGTCCAGTTAGCAACTGCATATATTCTAAGAAATGCTTTTACAAAACAGAAGGAAAAAACAATGAGCAGTTTTAGTTCCACTGCACAGGGAGTACAGAAGAGTAATGCAGCTGACACCCACCCAAGCCAATTATATACAGATCTACCTTCATTCCGTGACATGGATGTACTACAGTTCAAACATTTCCCCACTTCCCATTTCCTGTGTATGTGGGATACTAAAAGCACACTTTAAAAAGTATGTATGAACCAGAGACGGGCGGACCTGCATCACCACCATTTGTCCACCAACCAGATCTGAAATAGCATGGCTGGCATGTACAAATAAGGAACTATCTGGCATTGAAATTGGGACTCAAAAGAACTGTTGGCCCAGAAAGGAACTCACTACAGACTGATTCATTTGCCTCTCAGCATAACCATTATGGCTTGTCGCAGTTTAGGTTCTTACAAGGGTATTTCTTGGATCACAAGATCTCACACATCTAGAGGAAATAATGAACAACATAAACAGACCCAGAGAAAGAGAACTAGCAATCAGACTCTCAAACCTCAAAGGGAAAGTAAGGGAGGGTGGGGGTAAGGGGAAGAGATCAACCAAAGGACTTGTGTGCATACATATGGGTCTAGCCAGAGGCCATGGACAATGGGGATGGGGGGGGACACACACATATCTAGGGAGGGGTTTGGGATGGGAATGGGGGAATAAGGACAATTATGTGAGACCATAATCAATCAATCAATCAATCAATAAATAAAAATTTTAAAAATGTATGGTGGGAGCAGGGATAACAGCAGTAGCTCCTGGTAAGCTGAGAGCTCATTGACAGCCACTCTTCTTACTGGAAACACTCAAGGCAGAGTAGTGTCCACCCCAAAGATGCACTACCAGTGCAGACAGTGAGCTGTAAGTCCGTCAGCAGCCCAGTTCTTACCAGTGATCTGTACCAGTAAATTGAGGCGAAAACCTCGCAAGCATACCTTCGCAGAAACCTCTGCACTGATCTCCTCCTGTGTCTCTGCCAGCCGCTTCTTGGCAAGTTCAGTTCTCCGATCACACTCAGCGATAAAGGACTCCAAGTGATCCATCGCCTAGCTCAGGAGAAGCAGAGAGCTGGGATCAATTACATGTATGATCTAAGAACCCATTTGTTCGACAGGAAAATACTCCTGGGCTGATTTCTTAAAGCCTGTAGGTTCAGTGGGAAGATTTGAAACTACACTCCAGCCAACACATCCATAGTCATATTAAATCAAGGGGCTTTGTTAAACCAAATAAGCATTCAGGAGCATAGTCTTCTCATCTGATTTATTGATTTCCAAATTTTGTAATAGGTATCCCATCCCTCAATAACATTTCCAAGAAAATACTAAGGAAAATTACAACACTTGGCCATAATGAATAGTTTTCTCTGAGGGACAGAAAAGGCTGGATCGAGACTGGTGGTAAGAGCCCTCCTCTGGTGAGCTGTGGGAAATGCAGATGATGTACTCACTGGTCTTTGTGAGCCACGCAAATATTACCCCTCATGTTCTGAGGGTAGAGCTCCCCCTTCCACCTCAAAACAAAACAATAGAACAAATATTACTGAGAGCTGTGAATACGTTTAGTTATTGCCTACTGTCTAAAGTACCAGGAAAACTGGTATACTACTTACCCAGAGAGATAAAGGAAAAGAAACTCTAGAAATCTAAATCTTACTCTGGAAAGAGTTGATAGGGAACAATAAAATACTAATTAACGGGTTATCACATACTAGTATACTAAACAGTTAATTTGCCATACTAGTCAAAGGCCCAACATAGCTTTATATACATACAAATAGGAAATCACTTGTCCAACTTCCAGGCTACCACCAGTAATAAGCAGCATCTCCTAAGTTATACCCATGAGCCAGTCTGCTAATGTCATTATCACCTTGGAAGCAAGGGAGGATAGCCATGGATAACAGGGTCAGACAGTATGATCTAGCATTAAAAAAAAAAAAAAAAAAAAAAAAAAAAAAAAAAAAAAAGGGAAAAGAAATTTTGGGTGGTAACGATAACAAGACAGATAAAAGTTAGGCCAACAGACCAAGTGATGATAATCCATATCCCTCTCCGCAAAGATGGCCGGGAGAGAGCAGGTGAACTATTAAGGAAGTACTCCACAAGGATCTGTTGACACTGGAATAACATTTCATTATGTTCAAATCAAGCAATCAGGAATGCAAATAATTGGCATTTGTTTGCCTGGATGCACTGTATTTCCTGGAAAAATATAGAGTAAGTAAGTTGTGCTGACAAATTTGAACTCACCAGGATCAAAGTTCCAATGAGCTGATATGTGTTTCATACCATCTGTGCTCACCTAGGACAACCGTGCCTTAGAAAATAGCCTGAGAGGCCTCAGTTCACCCTCACACAGGCACTGAGACTGTGCGGAGCCCCTCTTCTACACAAATACAGCCATTTCACACCAGGGGCAGATCCAGGGACCCACTCCTCAGGGGCCAATAGAAAACAGACATCTGACGACACTGCCAGTGTCTTTACCAATCAGAGAAACCACTTGTATCTCAAGCAGAATCCCAACTGGCAGGGTCAAAAATCAGAATCAGATTTCTGATCAGTTATAAACTAAACAGTAAACTTCACAAAACAGAATAGGCAGACCACAGAGAGGTATTTTCTTCTTCTTATTATTATTTTTAATTCTCACTTAAAAAAAAAAAAAAACCCTCACCTGAAGATGTTTCTGATTTTGGAGAGGGAGGTGGAAGAGAGGGAGAGAGAAACATCAATGTGAGAAACATCATTTAGTTGCTTCCTGTACAGGCCTCCAAAAGAGATCGAACCCATAACCTAGATCTGTGCCCTGACCAGGCGACACTCCAACTCAGTGAGCCACCCGGCTAGGGCTAACTGCCAGGTTCTACTGCCCCTCCCTCTCTTCAATTTCAGAGTGGTTCCTAAACCAAAGGGCAGGTCTAAATGATTTTTTAAATGTTGCATTTCTTGAAATACTTGATTATTCTCCACATAATAGTAATTGCTATAATGGATTAAAAAATTCTATTACAGACATCTCAGCAGAAAATTGAAAGACTAATATTTAAATTAATTCACTTTCTTCTATACTAAAAAATTAAAAAGGCCATGAAAAATAGATCTAATTCTCAATACCAATGAAAATTTAAAAAAATATATTTAAAAACTATTAAAAAACTTTATTGAAATACATTTGGGGTTCTATAGTTCATCAAAGTGCAGTTTTAAATATTGATTTTATTGTACAAAAATTGCTCTTTTAAAAAGCCGTTTAAAATGAGGCACCCCTGCCGAAACCGGTTTGGCTCAGTGGTACAGCGTTGGTCTGCGGACTGAAGGGTCCCGGGTTCGATTCCGATCAAGGGCATGTACATTGGTTGCGGGCACATCCCCATAGGGGGTGTGCAAGAGGCAGCTGGTCGATGTTTCTCTCTCATTGACGTTTCTAGCTCTCTATCCCTCTCTCTTCCTCTCTGTAAAAAATCAATAAAATATAAAAATTAAAAAAATATAACAAATAAATAAATAAATAAAATGAGGCACCCTTGCTAGATGCTGTGGTTCAACAGTTGAGACCCATGCCCAAGAGATTGCTGGTTTGATTCTGAGCCAGGGTACAAGCCTGGATTGCAGGCTCATCCCCAGCACCAGGTGTACAAGTGGCAGCCAGTCGATGTTTCTCTCTCATCAATGTTTCTCTTTCCCCTCTCCTCTAAAATCAATAAAAAAAAATTTTTTTTTTAAATAGAGGTACCGCTGAAACCGGTTTGGCTCAGTGGATAGAGCTTCGGCCTGAAGACTGGAAGATCCCAGGCTAGATTTGGGTCAAAGGCATGTACCTTGGTTGCGGGCATATTCCCAGTATGGGTGTGCAAGAGGGATCTGATCAATGATTTTCTCTCATCAATGTTTCTAACTCTCTATCCCTCTCTCTTTCTCCCTATAAAAAAATCAATAAAATATATTTTTTGAGGTATCATTTCCAGGGTCATTGTATTATGACCATTTATTGCGGTATCCTTTTATGTATTTCAGTAAATTATTTTTTTAAAAAGGTATTTGCATCTAAAAATTAAGTCCTAATCACAACCTACCACTTACTACTCGAAAGTCATCCAACTTCTGATAACTGGAGAGTGATGAGATGAAACATGAACTACTAAGGGTGCTTGAGCACAGCGCGGCACTGGCACCAGGTCTCACTGCTGCTGCAGGAGGCTGTCCCTTCACACACAGGACTGCCTGTGACTGTGCTGATTCTGATTCTGCCTGGCCAGCAGCAGTGACACCAGCCAGCAATCCATGAGCCTGAGACAAAAACAATATTGTCAGAATGTTCACAGCAAACATGTGCCCCTGGACAGTGTTGCCTGTGCCACGCATGCCTCAAAATAGTTGTACAGGGATTCTTAAGATTGCCATTTCTCAGATGAAGAAGTTGAGGTATAGGTTTCAAACTACTAAGTGATAGTATTAGGATGCAAGGACCACTGTGGCTTAGCTCCCTACACCTTAATCCTCACAACTCTGAGATAGTTACTAGCCCAGTTTCTAGATGAGTAGAAAAAGGTGAAATAACTTGCCTAAGGTGACACAGGGATTCTAATCCAAGAGATCTGACTTATAAAACTATTAAAAATATATATATATGTATGTGTGTATATATACATATACACACATACACATATATACACACACAAACACACATATATATGTTTGTGCAGTATATGCACAGTATTATTTATATATATATAAATAAATAACTATATAAATAAATAATACTGCATATATAAGACTGAAAAACTAAGTACAATCAGAACTGGTCACATTTGGTATATTAAGACAGTTTGGAAATTAGTTAACATGGTGTGTTGTTCTAGAAACCTGTCAAATAGAACATCACAGAAAAAGATAATTTAAAGAAAAGATCAACTGTATTTACACTAAATTAAAGAAAAATAAATTATTTACATTTTCAACATACGGATACTTGAGAAATGTACTGCTCTGTAACTTCTCCATAGGTTAAACTAACGAGTTAACATTGCTTATTTGCCAGTGTTCACGTTGAGAAACTTGAAATTCATTTACATAAAATCTCATAGCAAATATTACATATCCTTTCCTAGAAAATTCCTGGACAAAACACTCAAGAAAGCAAGGTCTGCTCCTAACATGATCAGGCTGAGACTGCATTAGGCTGGAAGGAGCTAATGGTAGGCACCTTCTCCCACATAAAACACCGGAGTTTTGGGCGGCTCCTGAGTGGAAAGGTGCCAGAAGTCCTGGAAGCTCAAACTGAGGATATAGGCAGGGCATACCTACACAAAGAAGTATCTTGATGACAACTCCATCAGGCCCACAAAGAAATACATTTTTACACCTTTTGGGTCTCTTACTGACAAAGTCCCAGAGTCTGACAACTCACTGTCAGTGAAGATGTGAAAACTGGAACTCTCACACACCATGGTGAAAGCGTTCTCACCATGGCATTATCCATTTACGAGTTTGGTATATACCTTTTTAAATTGTGTTAAACTATAAATTGGTAGTTACAAAATAATCACAGAAATGTAAAATCCAGCATACGGAATATAGTCAATAGTACTGTAATAACTATGCACAATGCCAGGTGGGTATGTTAAATATTGGGGGGACCACTTTGTAAAGTATATGATTGTCTAATTGCTATGCTGTACACCTGACATACAAAATAATATTGAATGTAAACTGTAATTGAAAAATAAAATTTAAAAAGTATATGAAAACATATTTTTATTCCAACTAAACAGGTTTTGCAAGTTTCCTTATCTTTTTCACATCAATGTACACATCCATGATCTACAGCTGTGTAGTATTTCACTACATTTTAACACAACTATGATAACCCCTCTAATAAATACAAAGTTTGGATTTTTCAATTTAATCCTTCAAAATAAAAGCAATAAACATCTTATATCTTCTCATATATAGGCAAATACTCTTTTAGGACAATTTCTTACAAATTGCTTAGAAGTGATTCAAAGTCCGTAAGTATTTTAAATTTATTAAAAGACTAGTTC